CTTGGATGATAAAATGAATTATTTTCATCAGTCTCATTAGGTGTCCCAGATACAACAAAAGGATTTTTGGATCATCCGCCATTGCCTGCTGATGGATCGATGGTCAACAAACCTTCTAGTAAAGATCAACAAAATTTATTGACACGATCAGGCAATCTAATCACAGAAATTGCTGCAAATAGAACAAGTAAAGATAAACCAAATATCAATGACGCATGTCCAACACTAAAAGAAAAAAAGCAATGGTTTTTTGATGATCAGGTAATTTGAAGGAATACAAATGGAGATTCCTATTGTTACAAATTATGACTAATTTGCGTAGATCACATCATTATCTACAGCTACAGATCCTCAAACATCATCACCGTTATTACTCGTTGGCCAGCCTGGCGGCCATTTTATGAAAATAGACAAAAATGAGAATCTAACCTGTCCTACTCAAGTGTCAAATGATTTACAATGTCCTGATGAATCAACGGAAGTTTCAACAGAATTAGCGAAAGGAATAAAATGGAAAAATGGTGAATAATAATAAATATTTGGATATAACTTATGATAAATAAATAAATTTATTTAATTATACTTGCTATAAGGCAAAAGTTATGATGTCATTGTTCTCGTTACTATGGATGGTACGAATAGCGATTTATAGTTATTATTATTATTATTAAGATTAGATATTCACATCTAAATATCTTATTGTAGGCAACTTCTCCTTCTTTGACCTTCAAACATCAACCATGTCACGTCATGAATTACAAGTGACACACAAGCTTTTTGGGGTAACCGCTATAGATTTTTTCTGTGATGAAACTGAAATATCGTCAAAAGGACGGGATGATGACGTGTTTGTCGCATGTACGTGGAACGGTAATACTTATATAATTGACCGAGATTTTAATGTGGTCAAATTTGAATTTGAAGGTCGAGTTTGTGCATTCGCCGCTGGTATGATTCAAGTTTAATATAAAAAACCATCCATTATTCGCCTGTTATTTATTTAATCTAATGATTTCCACAATTAGGTAAATATGCCGTAGTGCCAGGTTGTAATGTTCCATGCTTCATGTATGTTGATTTTGAAGACCACATAACTGTGTATCACAACTTGCGGATTAATACGAAGCCTGTACAAAATTTCATGGAAGTAATGAATGACCAAGTCAGTCAGGTACATTTATATCTTTTATGTTGTAAATCGGATTCAGCAATTTATAGAACTTTATACGAAAATTTTGTTTTTTATTAAATTATTAACTTTGATCCCAACGTGACCGAAACAGCATTATAATGTATTCACAGATGTCATGACAGATATCATGAAAGATTACGATATAGGTAATTATTATAGAACAGGGTGAAACCCGCGTTGCTAGCTAGTAAAATCCGCTACGTAGATCAGGTTAGGGTGAAATTCGCGGTTGATTATGTTTTTTATTATATAAAAGCGGATTTCACCCCCACGTGATGATCATAGCGGATTTTACTAGCTAGCAACGCGGGTTTCACCCTGTCGTATTATTATTACTTTTTTACTTCCTGATTCACATATTAAGTCTATACTTATTTACATTATCTGTCAAAATATATTTAAGAAAAGCAAAACCTTTCAACCGATCCTTGTCAATATTCACCCTATATCACTGACATGTTTCAGCAATGTTTGTACAAATTAGATGATTATAATACCGTAAAAGAAAGTCTTGAGGAAAAAATTAAAGAGGTTTGTATTAATCTGAGTTGTTTTTTTTTTAATGAATTTTATTAGTCAAATACCAGATGTAACATACTTTGTCTTACTGAGCTGAACATTGTTCTTATTTCAGTTGAAAAGAGTGAAACACGAACAGATTGAAAAAGCAGAGAGTGAAACGTTAAATGAAGAACTAACAAGTGAAACATTAAATGAAGAACTAACAGGTGAAACATTAAATGAAGAACTAAAAGGTGAAATATTAAATGAAGAACTAACGAGTGTAGTCGATTGAACATTTATAAGCTTAGCTAAGCCAACTATTATCTTAAAATTATAAACTATAATCCGGAAACTCCAGCTTATCATGTTCGTATTTCATTGATTTGACTTATTATCCACATTACAATCACCCATTTTTGAAGCAATTCTGGATTTCTTACTTGATATCATCTCGCACAAATTTTATTGGCTAATATGTTATATATAAAGTTATATAAAATTGTTTTATATCCAATATATTTAAAAAAAAAGTTCATCATCCCACTGGTTCAGATTCTACTACTGAACTCACTAATTTAGACCTTACATATTCGTATATTGTGATGGTCCGAAGCAAGATGGAAATTTTTGATTGGTTAATTATCAAAAATCCTGAATGGCCAAAATTAAAGGGTTAACTTTCGTTATTCCAAAGATTTGCGCCTCAGATGCCTTAATAGTATTTCGTGAAATCTTGCTCACGTGAAATCCGAAACATTCATTCGAAAGAAAATATTATTTTTAATTAGTTATTACTCTTTAAACGTCAAAAAATATTGTTATCGCACTACATGTTATAGTGCAGGAAACATAGCGGGCTTTTGTCTTATAGGTCAAGGTAATTTAGTAGTGCCCTAGCCATGGCGAAAAAAAAATAAGGGAATTTACAAATAAGGGCCCAAAAACGAAATAATTACAAATAAGGGCCCAAAATGAAAATAATTACAGATAGAGGCCCGATATTTGAAAATTATTACAGACAAGGGCCCAAAATAATTATACGCTTAAGAACCTATGATTTAGGTCCCGTTTCGATGATTTGAATATGATTGTAATATAGTCATTAATTGTTAATAACATAAGAAATGTAATAATAATCTATTAGTAATTCGAATATAAATTCAAATGCACAATAAAAATGTATATTCGATTCGTCAACCAATTATTTACGCTGTAAATTTATTCCATTAAAATTCTTTTCTTAAAAACATGTCATACAAAATTACAGATCGATATGATTTTACTAACATAAATTGTTCATTCGGCCCTGGATAGTTATTCTGTCGAACTTTCTTCTCCTTATAAGTTCAGAACGAACAAACAAAATAAGCTGTTGGCTATTTGTTTTACAAACTAAACCAGTTCATACCCTTTTACTATTTCAGCTAACAAGCGCAAAAGTGGATACATTCATATAGTAAGGCTGATTCCTCATGATCCAATCATATGTTGTAAAGTTTACTGTGCCGTTAATTAAAGAAATAGCAGTACTTCGACCTTGTGATATTATAAATCGTATTCATTTTGAAGTAAGGACTGAGACACCATATATGGTAGTTTGAGAAGTAAAGCTATTAGGTCACACAAAGTTAATTTTTCATTTTGCTCAAAAATTCGTTTGGTTGGTCAGTTTCTTTTTAATTCTGAATAATAAATAATAACTCTAAAACACTTATTTAATCACGAAATGAGGCAATTTATCAGTATACTATTATGGTTAAATTGGTTAGCAATTTTGATGGTATATTTGGATCCTTATTTGTAATAATTTTCAAATATTGGGTCTTTATCTGTAATTATATTCATTTTGGATTCTTATTTGTAATTATTTCATTTTTGGGCCCTTATCTGTAAATTTTCTCTTTAAATAATAATGTTTTCAAAAAAACCTTATTTCGTCTCCATTAAAGCAATTTGAAATTTTTTATATGCAAGAGCAAATCTAATTTAGGTAGTTATGTTTTTTATAATTTCATCTCTTCAAAAAAAGTATCAAAAAAATTTTGTCTTTTAAGTAAAATAGGTCAAAAACAATTTTGTCTTTAAATTTTAATTTTGTATCCTGAAATCTAAAATAATTTCGTCAACATGTATAGTTTATATAAAAATAAAAATATTATACTTAAGCTATCTAGTATACAAATTCGTGTATTTAAATTTTTAAAATTTTATTTTTTGTATATATTTATATTTTACTACTTCAGTCAGGGATTTTACCAAAAATAGACAGTATTAATCACACTTTTTATAGTATGAAAATGTTAATTAGATGATTCTTGATATTTTAGTGACACAAAATTTTGTAATATCACATGTTTTTAACCAATCAAAACATGGCTTTGAAAACTAACAAAATATAATAACATACAATTCAAAGATTTATTAATAAAAAATTGTAAACTTTTTATCAGAATTTAGAATAACATAATTTTGCATCATGAACAACTTATGTAATGAGCCAAGCTGGCTTATTTATTACAGAAACCCTGTTATGAATATTTTTTTTATAAATATCAATTATAAAAATATCTCACCAACTAGTAATTAAAATCAAATAATTTTTATATTATTCGATTTGTTTCAGTGAGATAAATCGAATAGCATAAAAATTATTCAATTCTAATTAATCTATGAGATATTAATAATAATAGGATTTTATCATTTTATACATTCTCTTCAATAATATTTAAATAAATTAAATAAAATATTTTTTATTCCATAGTTATAAATATATCTAAATCTTATTTTTGTATCTATTATATCTAAAAAAATAAAAAAAATTTAAATATGTTAGAAAATAAAATAAAATTAATAAAAAGAAAAAACTAAAGCTTAATCATAGATTCATAGTCAAAATTGATTAAACCAAGTTTAATACAAATAAAAAGTTTTAACAATAGTACAGATAACCCTTAATAATATTAACACATTTGGATTGATTTTAAATCTATGTTAATAGTAATATCAATAAGGGATTATATTTAGAGTTGATATGTATAAGGGAATTTTAATATATAAAAATATATAAGAATTTGGTTTGTGGCTTAGGTTGATATTAACAAAGTTGATATTAATGAGGGTTCTCTATATATAATACTTATATATACAAATATAAAAAGCTTTATGATATTGTAGAAATATTCAACACAACTATTTGATATTAATCTAAAGAAAAAAGAAAAAAGAAAAAGAAGCATAGAATCTAAACTAACTTTAGTAAAAACTTAAAAAGTTTTTAGGTTTTATCTATTTTACCAAAAAGAGTTGATCTTGACTGATTATTTATTGATTCTGAAACTGGTTCTTTGTATATATAGTATTGAGTACAACAAATATTATGAAGAGGCAAAAAATTTTAGCCAAAAAGCATGATTGTTAGCCAATCATCACTCAAGAGAATATTTCAGAATCGATTTTTATTTTTGGTAAAATCCCTTAAAATAATATTTTATAAAACTTTTAATATTATATTAAAATTAATTATATAAGATTTATTATAATATAAGATTTTATAATTAAATTTAATTAAATTTAATATATATATATAGAAAAAATATGTTTGTTACCAGCAGTAATAGTTACCAGATCATGATCAACCAATATATTATAATCAAAACAAAAACAATATGTCGAAATTTACTATCATTAGGGCTGGGTTAAAGCCTTAGTTAAGGTCTAAGAGGGCATAGCATATAGTAAAATTTTGCAAGAAATTTTTTTTATTAGAATGCAAAACGTGGTTTTATAGATAAAATTTTGAGAAAACAGTGATTTTTTAAAAAAATTAAAGTTTTTACATTTTTTACATTATACATGATCCTGTGATCTAATTGGTTAATCACACTCTAGTACTGTTACCACTAGCAACAAATAGATTCACTTATATATATATATATATTTTTTTTTTTTTAATTTGGTTATCCTGCTATTGTTTATTAAAATCTCAACTATTCAACAAATTATATGTATTTTTTTTTAGTCTAACAAATTTACTAAAACAACTAACTTACTAAACTTTTGCCTAATATAATTTGTCTCAGTAGTTATTGATCTCTGTTCAGATTCTTAACTTGTTAAGAACATTTTTATTTTCAGTTCTTGATTGGCAACTACAAGTCTTATCAAGATGCTTTATATTTTTTTTTAATAGTGAAATACAAACATATATACAAAAAATAGTAAAAAAAAATGATGATACAACAATTACAAATAGATCTATCTAAGCAAATAAACTAAAAGAAAACCAGAAAAAACAAAAAGAAGAAATGAAACAAAAAGATAATATTACTAAACCTGCACAAGATTGTAAAAATTATATAGAGTGCTAAATAAACTAGTTTAAACTCTATATTAGCTACTTATATCTATATCTAAAATATAAAAAACTAAAAAAATTTATTCATTTTTGAGTAGAGATCCAAGCTTAAAATTTCAATTATGTCTTCAGCAAAATTTTTGCAACATATTCATATAAAATTTTTTGCTAATAAAATTAAAGATTGAATATACATCATTGGACTCAAAATAAATATATATATATGTATATATTTTTTTTTCAGTAGTGATAGTTATTGTTGATTCTTTGTTGGAGTATATTATATTTTTCATTTTTAATAAAATTTTGAGAAGTGCAAAAAGTAGGTATTGAAGAGAGTTTTAGTTAGCAGATAGCCTTAAACTTTGATAAAAAATATATTAAAAATTTGTTTGTTATTCTTCTAAACCAACTATACTTTTACTTCATTAACAGAAGCTATGCTTCTATTAAAATTTTTTGTACAAATATATCACTTTCTGCTAGTTATCTTGTACAAAAATATTTTTAATTTGCTTATTAAATATACAGAAGAATCTGAAAAAGAAATCAAAAAAGCTTTGATTTTTGTAAAAACCATTACTTGTATAATTGTCTCTTCTACTTTTCTCTAACAAGTTACTGTTTTTGTTAGTTGTAAGTTTAGTATGAGTAATTATCAAGAAGAGTTGTTTGAATTAGTATAATTAAATTTAATATTAAAAAAATTATATATATATAATACTAGTAGCCTATATTCAATAGTTACACAAAGTATTTTAATTTTTTAAATAGCTATAACTTTTTTATCTAAGTGGTTTAAAAAAATCTAACTAGTGACTTTATAGAGCTATATTAGCTTTATATTTCTGCTAAATTTGTTTTTAAAATCTTATTACTATAAAAAGTTTTTTTTCATATATTGGTAGTCTCACCAGTATCTTTATTAGATTATAGTAATATACAAGTATATTTTAAACTATCTAAGCTATAGATTTGATATCACTTGGCTTTTTCTATAAATGCCAAATATGGTTTGCCACACCAGATGAGACTATTGCCCATACCGGAAAGCTATACCAAGCTAGCTAGTAAACTATAACAAGATGGTTTCAAATCAAAAAAAATTTTTAACTATATTTAATTGGTGATTAACTCTTTCTAAACTATTCTCTTTTTTAAAATAATATTCTAATTTTCTAATAATAAGCAATTTTATTTCTTTTTTTATATAAGGGTTTTTGCTATAATTCTTTTATTTATATTTTTATTTCTTCTTTCTCTTTTTCTAGTTTAATCTGTTTTTTCTGATTAAGAAACCAGCTCTCAAGAGTTTTCTTATATCCTTTTCTTTAATCTTTTCTTTCTGTTTCATAGCTTTATATA